AAAGTTAGCTGACCAATGCTGTTTTGTTTTGGTCATCATTAACTAACTCAGTTAAACTATTCTGTCTCTGGCATGTGGGAAACTAGGAAGCAGTGAAGGTATGACAACTGCATGTCCTGCATTTCTGTAGTTGACACTTTCCCAGCAACTTTCCATTAATGGTAACTAATTTCAGGGCCACTCCCCATAACTTGTTAAAAGCTTCCTAGAAACAACTAACACAAGTGAGGTATTGAAGGCATCAGTATTTTTTTTTTAGTTTTTCCTCATTCTGCCTGTTTACAAGCAGTAAGTTCATAGCTTGAACTCTATCTGTCCTCCAAAAGGCACTAACAAAATGCGAATAAAAACTGGTATTTGAGTTTAAAGCTATTTTCATTGGCAGACTAACTGGAGAACTTAATTGCAAACAAAAGACCATGACAAAGAAGAGAGCTACCTGTCATCAGCTAAAATACATGACACGACGTGTTAAACTCTAGTGTGAAATACAGAGTGGTCCTACTGATTTCAGTGAAGCCATGTATTCAAAGGGAAGGAGAGTTTGTCCTCTTTTTCCCCTACTCAAAGTATTTACTGACGCCAGTGATGGTGGAAAAGCATAAAATGCAAAAAAAATATACCAAGGGATTGTAAGGAACTATCTCTGAAACCCATGCTAGCAGCCAACAGCTTCACAGATCATAAAATGCACTACAGCAATATCAACCATATGCATATTCTGAGAGTATCTCCTCATTCTGCCTGTTTACAAGCAGTAAGTTCATAGCTTGAACTCTATCTGTCCTCCAAAAGGCACTAACAAAATGCGAATAAAAACTGGTATTTGAGTTTAAAGCTATTTTCATTGGCAGACTAACTGGAGAACTTAATTGCAAACAAAAGACCATGACAAAGAAGAGAGCTACCTGTCATCAGCTAAAATACATGACACGACGTGTTAAACTCTAGTGTGAAATACAGAGTGGTCCTACTGATTTCAGTGAAGCCATGTATTCAAAGGGAAGGAGAGTTTGTCCTCTTTTTCCCCTACTCAAAGTATTTACTGACGCCAGTGATGGTGGAAAAGCATAAAATGCAAAAAAAATATACCAAGGGATTGTAAGGAACTATCTCTGAAACCCATGCTAGCAGCCAACAGCTTCACAGATCATAAAATGCACTACAGCAATATCAACCATATGCATAAAGTATTAACTGCTATTAAAACGTCTGAGGTTTTAGCCTCTGTCCTACAAATGTGGGGACCAGCTCTAAAACAAAGCATTATTTTGAACCACAAGATCTGTAAGTTACAGTCAGGCATATTCCAGGTATTATTTAAACTCATAAAACAGAGAAATTCTGCGTTAAGACTGGAATTCTTTCCTGAGTTAACCCAGAGACAGCCAACAGCCAAATGTTATTAGGCAGATGCTCAAAGGTTAAGGAGGTAAGGAGTCAATGAAAAAAGTTCTCCTTACACTGACCGAAACAAACGGATTGAAAAAGGTTCTGAACAGTCAGGGGAACTGGTATACAAACAGAGCAAAGCACTGAGACACACCTGACAATCAGCAGGAGAGAATTCACACTGCATCACCCTAGAAAATGTAGCTACATCCAATAGCTACATAAATGCACTTTGAACTAGCACTGTTCCTAATAACCTCAAAATCTCCCACTGCAGTGAATCCAGTAAGATACCTGAAAACATGTACTAACTTTAGGAAAAACCTATGTGTCAGTATTATGTGGTGAAATTTCCACCATTACAGTTTGGCTCACTTTAAGTCATCAATTAACATTCTCCTGAACCTACAAGTGTATTCTAAAAATTAAATATTTTAAGTAGCTTGAGACATTGCCTCTCAATTCTTTATTCAAAGTATCTATTTCATCACAGAAATTCTCTAAAATTGCCCCTGTATCAGAAATGGTGGAAAGTATAATATAAAGAACAATACACATGCCACATTTGAAGGATCACTGTCTACTTGCTAAGATGTAGTTCTATTTTTTCAGCTCAAAGAGCTAAAGCACCTCTTTGAATTCTTGTCTGACCTAATGTGACGAACAATACAGGGAAATCTGACCAGTAGCCACAACGCTTTTGCTGGAACAGTTCTGTCCATAAGTGACTAAATAGTTTAATTAGGTCTAGTACTTACAATAGTATCAAAACAACTACCAAAGAGGTCCTTTTAAGGTCAAATTGGCTCCTTGCCAGTACACACACACACAGAAAGGCAAAATTTGCAGCCCTTTTAATATTTTAGTTCCGATGCCTTAATCTTTCAAACAGCTCTCCATGTATTTAACGTCAAGTTCCTAGGCCTTCAGGTACTTAAATGTCCAAAATTCCTTGCAGGATTAGGATGTGATCTATGATCAAAAGCAACAAACAGTTTAAAATAAACATGCAGAGGGAATGGATGAGGAAATATGGGAGAAAAGGCAATGAACACAGATTAACATTACAGCTAGATGTTTGAAAGAGGTAATTTTTCTAAAGGTTAATAAGACATTATGACAGAATACCAAAGCAGAAAGAACATGAAGATTTTCCAAGTTACTTTAAAAACACCAACCATCTTGACAGCTGCATCAGAGCCCAAAGGAGACTTGTATCTTTATGGCCTTTGATTTGAGAGTCTGACTGTTTCTCTTGTCATGTCTCACCATTAGTAAAGAACATGAGCAAGAGAAAAAGGCATGCAAGTTTCTCTGAGATTTCCCTTTGGTTAGAATTTATTTCCTTCGGGGTTGCTAAACCCCATACTGGAAAACCTGCTTTACCCCTTTTTTACCAGTGACTTCCAATAAAAAGGGCTAAAATATGTGCTAGAAAGATGAACTAGGTCCACTGTTAATTAGGGATTTTTAAGTTTTTTCTGCCCGTAGTTGCACATGTGTCTGTGCAAGAATAAAAATAAGATCAATGAACTGTAAGTGGCATCTTCATGTGAATAGTACATCAATCAGGAATATCCAAAGCACTGACTGTTTATTTTTGATAATGAAAGAGTTGAGCAGATTATTCAACTTAGCTTTTCCTGGTATTTAGATCTAGTTCCACTACTCAGTTCTAAAAACGCCTTTCATATATGAATAGGTCTTTCTTGCATGGCTATCTTCCACCTGCACTACCAGCTGCCAAAGACTTTTTTTTAAACCCCTTCAAAATCACTACTTGAAATCTGTAAGTTCATAATCATCATGATGACATTTTCAGAGCATTATGGCCATGGCGGATAATACTTTTAAATGTAGATGCTATTTAAATGCATATAATTTCTTAGAGTGGACTTTTACAATAACCTGCTATGTTAATATATGCAGTCTGAATCCTATTATTAAAAATCCAGGGAGGGTTCTGAGACACTGGTAAATTAAGCTCATATTGATGGTACGCTGATGGAATTCAATACACTGTATCAATTCACAGGACTGATGTCCTATGATGTCACACGAAGACATGACTTTTAACTATTACCTCCATCAAGTGTCTACCTATTTTTTGTAACTTAATGGAATCCCCCAAAAAATTAAAAAGAAAGCAGAAGGCAGAAATCCAGTAATACCTACACATCTTCATTACTTCCAGTTGATTGTGGGTTAGAAACTGGTTTAAGAAAGAAAGTGAACTATATAGCGTGATCATCACAACAATGACTACATAGTTTAACAGTGTTTGAAAAAAGTAACATACACGCAGAAAAGCCAGGTTTTGCACATTATTAAATTTCTGGTTTAATTTAAGATGCAGTATATCTCCAAAGGCCGTGCTGTAAATCATGGATTAAATACCTGCAGATTTCCTTAGTCTGAAAATAAAAGAGTGTGTATAGTGAGAATTTGTAAGAAAAAAGAAAATAAAAAAGTTATGACTTAGATGTAATGACAGGAAACAGGGCGCTTAAAGAACAGTGGTGGGAAGTGAGAACTTGAAGAGGAACAATAAAGGCCAAAAGAAGTTTGCTGAGGGATCAGGAGTAGAAGACCCAGTGAGCTAGTCAGCCAGCTACGTACAACTTTTAAATCCTTTCCACAATGCAATCTGCCAAAGAGGCATCCCAAGAATAACATATTTATCACCCCAGGGATATTAAAATGGACTTTCTTTGTAGCTAGACTTCAGAGAAGTAAATAAAGTATAAATTCAATTATTACATTACTTGAATAATCTAAAAATCAAAATATTACTAAAACTATTTACTTTTAAATCACTAGGTATGTTTTCCAGGCTTATTTAATTTAGGCTCAGCTGATTATTTGACGACAAGCACAACAGAATGCATCCTTTTACTACATGCTTTGGGCTGCAAGATTTTAAGTATTTATCAATTTATTGCATAATGGCCTAAGTGTGCAGGATTTTATTTCTACTGTAAATTTATGAACTTTAATTATTGTAGCCAAAGCTTTGCTAGTACTTAGCTACTCAGTGTTCTATTCAGCTATCTAGCTTCATGTTCCTCCATTCCCATGACCGTAATTCATCTTTCCAAAAAGAGATCTGAGCAATGTGAAAAACAATAAACTCAATGTCAGGAAAAAAAAGAGATAATAAAACCAGACCTCACAAATCCACACAAGTACAAAAGTAATTTCAAAAGGTAGCTTTAAATTGGAAAGTTAAAGCCAACACAACAGATTTCATGTTTGAAGATTAATACAACATGAATCTAATCTCATTTAACTGAAATCAAGGAAAAATCTGTAGTACACTTTACAAGGAGCAGGATGAAGTGTTCTGGGCTCCTTTTTTCCCTAAAATTAAAGAACGCCTTCCCCAGCTCATTGTTACCCAAACATTTTGGTGTACAGTACACACAAATGACTCAAGCAAAAGATGCAGCATAAGGATTAAAATGTACCCTTTGCTTACGTATGATGGCACCAGACATGCTACCTGAAATCTGTAACCCACTACTGCATCTAACTAAAGATTTAAGTTATAAAGGAATATATACAAATGACTAAGCAGAACACTCAGCATAAGGATTAAGACTTCTTACCCCATATTTACATTGGCGGGATGTTGCTCCATACTGGAAGCGACACTGTTCATCAGCATCATACACCTGACCTGGGGCCACAGCTGGATAAAGAAAGTCACGCTTGGGAGGCTCATTATCAAGGCAAGTACCACGGCCCGAACTGTTCAACATAAAGGACCAAATCAATTAGGAATTCTACTGACTGTAAATCACAGTAATGATATCATGTATCTAGATCTTACTTTTAACAGCACTGGGTGTGAAACAAATATGATTGCAATAAACAAACAGTAAGAAGGTACACCCATAGTAAAAAGAAAAATAATTAGAGGGAATTAAGAGATTAAAATAATTTTTCATCATTATTATTAACAAAAATGCTTATTTTAGATTGTGAAATAGGTTCATGTATTATCCTTTTTAAAGTGTGATAATTTCTGAGCCACACAAGACTGATTTTCATTTTTGTTTTAAGGTTCCTATTTGTTTTCACTGAAGAATAGCTACATTTGGTCATAGAATGAAAAATAAACAAATTAAGCAAATAAAAGAAATTCAGTTTACAATTCTTACTGACCCTTCTGATCCTTCAAACAGCTAAATACAATCTTATAGATATGAGCAGCTCAATTAAGTTTACATAAAAGTAAAACACACTTAAATTTCAATATGGCTAAATGTTTATGGGATTAGGACCTGAACATGCATGCTTTTCTTCCACTTGAGTGAACAAAATAGTTACAGTGGTAAAAATTCTGCAGGATCTTCAAATTTACCCATATTAGGGCGAGTGAAAAAATTTGTATGGATCACAGATCTTCTCCATTGGATTAGTACTACTTAGTCTTAAAATATTCATGTTATAACTAAGATCATCATCTTTGAAAAATTTAATATTTTCTTCTATTATATTCACTGTTTTATTTAGTGGTTGGTGGGCTTTCTTCCAAAACATGCTTACATTCAACAACAATATTTTAGTGTAGAGGAATAAATAACAAAGCCAGCCAAACGCAGACAGAGTTCTGTTTAGAAAACTTTGTACTTTGCTAAATACAATTATTAAGTTTCATTTAGTCAATGTGCATAAAAGAGGACAGATGCTTTTTTACTTTCATTTCACATGTGAGTAAGTGAGGATTTTTAAAGAATTCTTAAGCCAACACTTTAAATTTTTTTCCAACATTCCTACAAATTTTGCCAGCACTTATGTTTTTTTTTCCAAATCTTTTCCATGCACCTTGCCAAAGGAACATAATTTCAGAAGTGAATGTTCTACACTGTTTTTTGGAGAACTCCAATTTTCTATACTTTTAATCTGCAGATTAAAAAAAGAGCAAAAAGCCTCCTTTAACTACATATTTTACGTTCTCGTTTTAACCCTATTTTATTCAATTCTTTGAAACTCTACAATAAACCCTGTGGAAAAACAAAGAAACAAATGACTGCCGACCATTTCAGAAGAAGGGAAACAGCAACTAAGGCAATAACGAGGTAAATATAGAAAAAAAATGTATTTTGTTACTAATCCAAATGAATTCAGCATGATTCACCCGCACACACGCACACACACACACCATCAGCTGAAATCTATCTTTAAAATATCAACTCTGTGTTTCTGGCATAAAAAATAATGTACTCGCCCCTTTATTCCAGTTCTAATTATTGCAAGCATATATATTTTCTAAATAGCAAAAGTTGGGAAACTATCCTACATTCAGTGTTGTATTTTGCATGTATGAGTAGTACACATTAATAATTCCAATATGAAAATAACTCCAATACAATCTTATTTTTCTGCATTGTCTGGTCCAAACTGCAGATAGGAACTTTGCTTAAACAAGCAGTGGGAAGTTTAGCAGTTGACAGCAGCTTCACCTAGTATTACATGATAGGCACATTTCCATAGATTCCAACAGTGCAGAGTTAGGTCTGTAAACTGTGATCCTGTAAACAGACAGCCAAGGGCACAGCATTTAAAAACTCTCATTACCTTTGGCAACTCTCTCCATAGGCATGTGTATCCTTGCACGGATTAGATTACAGAATCAGATCTAAATCTTTAAGTTCACTGAACTTGTAAATTAAAGTCTATTACCTACTCTTCAAGACATATAGTTGCAGAAATACAAGTCAAAATCCTTGTAGTAAATGCAAAAATATGCCTCTTCTGCTCTAATGACAGGATTTTCACCATAATAAAATATTGTTGTAGCAGTAAAAAAGCAAGAAATTACTACTAAGCAGCCATTCACCTACTAGCTACATCACCACCTCTCAGACTGAAAATTAGTTTCTCTCTTTCCTTCTGCTTCAGTTCTACTATTTCTCTTAGGTAGTTGAACAATATTGACACATTTACAAATTTAGTGTGAGAATTGAAGTATTTTGGAAAAGAAATAGCATGTGTTATAAAAACAGGGACTTCTACTGGTAATGAAAGGTCTCACCAAAGCTGTGCAAAGGATGAATACAGGCTAAGGACCATATAATCTTTCTGACAACTTCTACTGCACTTAGGAATGGTATAATACTAGTGAGTCTACATCCTTGTTCTTCTCCCTTTCCCTTTGCTCCACCAGAGCAAAACCCAGCTACTTGAGAAAAAAAAATCTGCTAAATCTAGGGGGATGAAGCAAAAGGGTGCAAGAAAAATAATGGTATCAAAGCACCTTGTAAACAGAGGTCTAATAGATGGTATTGATCAGGCCTACAAATGCCAAAAAAACCCTTTGTGTAGATGTAAAACAGATAATAGGAAGGAAAAGAATGGTCAAACTCATCCTTACATTCTATTTACTCCACAAGATACTACTACTACTCAAAGACTTTCTCATTTTCCTAATTTTAGGTTAATTTCATGAGGTTTTATGGGACATAATAGGACTGGTTTCAATTACAAAATAGCTAAGCTTGAAGCCATTTCACCCGTTATTCCAGTGTTGTGTCTCAAGAGATCTTTGCAAAACACTGTACGATATAATTTAAACATTTTTTATTTTAATACCACAGGATAGCAAATTAATCTTCTGTTTGGAAGGATATCAAGGATACTAGAGCATTTTCTGAAAGCTTAAGATCTCAGATGCTATCACTGCTAACTGGTTGATCAAAACAACAGCAACCAGGGATTCAGTGTTAGAATCTTTATAGACTGAACAATGCAAAACTGTCTGCACAGATATCACTGTTGTATCCAAGGCCAATAAAGAGAAAAAGCAAAAGCCATGGACGTAGACCTTTCAGGGTTTATACTCCTATTACAGTATCTATTCCCAAATATCTCAGCAACATACACAGTACAACATAACTCCTTCAATGGTTGAAAAAAATACCCCAGAACACTGGCACTGAAAATAGGTTTTGAATGCTACAGAATTGGCTCATTCATAATAATGATGTGGACTATAATGCAATTTATAATTAAAAATCATAAATTAAATGTATTGTAAGTATCTGTAATTATCTGTTATAGCTAAACAATCGTATATGTAAATATATAGATAGTATACACAATATTTTGTGTTACCAAATTACCCATAAAAATATGGGAAAAAAGGAGAAAAAATTATTGACTATAAACACAGTGCATTTTATATATATTCATACATATAAAAACACGAATTATTTACTTGTCTATATATAACATTTGTCTCCTGACAGAATCCTTAATTCGTATTTATTACATACTTTTCCTGAGTAAAAAATGATTTTTAGAGAGCAACTGGATATATTTCTGTACAGGTTACAAAAGCTGCTTAACTTGACATTAATGAATAAACTCTGCAGGTTGCTGAATAGTCTACAGTTAATAACATAAATATTTGCAGAATCAAGGCATAAGTAATGGAAGTGTGATTTGGAGTGGTATGTTTAAAATTAAAATGAACCAGAACAGGATTACTAAATGAAAACATTCTTGAATGTTAGGGAAATACAGATACTGATGTGGATTTACCACTTGCTCTCATGAGAAATTCTACCTCTTTCCAATCTTTTATGCAAGGCTGGCATATTACCTATTTCATAGCAAAGGCTAATTTCGCACAATTTTTTCGTAACACTCAATTTTTCTTTTGTTTGGTTATTTCTTTAATGTATACTTTCCTCCACAATATAATCTGTGTTCCAAAGCATTCTTTTATTCTTTTGAATAATTATCCAGCAGTCATATTAGGAAAAACCTATTGGTCTATCAAAACCATCCACCTACCAAAATCTGTTGGTAACTGGCCTTGAGAGTTTGGGAGATACTAAGCTATAAAATATTGGGCCAATCTGTTGTTCTATATTTATTTCATCAAACATTCTACAAATAAGTTAATGGGAATCTGCTACTGATTCTGCCCTTTACAATTTCTTTAAATTTAAATAACACAAGATGTAGAAAAAGAGTAATACTTGCAAAGTCAACGCTCAAAAACATTGTCAGCACATGATTACAGAAACTGGTTTGGGTTCATTTCTCCTATGAACAGATATTAAGGGTTTCTGCTCTTCCCACAGGAATCTGTCCTCTGACACTGCTCTCCAACCCTTCAATTCTCAGTGAGTATTTCTGCATTTAATTCCATAAAAGGTTAGTGAAATTTAAAGCCATTGTAAAGCACTTAGAAACAATCCAGGTGATAAACTGAATTCAGCTAATCTTTCACTCTAACATAAAGCTTTACAGACAATAGCTATTATTTGCTAGAAGGCATGTTTTCCCCAGAAAAAAAATTATTTTCTGTGGCCATTTCAGAGCCTGTGCTGGCTGGCCATCTTTCTTGAGAGTTTTGATAGATCTATTAGCAATACATAGTTTAGCTTTGTCTTATTGTCATCCTTTTAGCCATATTCATCCTCTATCTGGCCATTCTGCAAAATAAATTGCTTTCCCAACCAGTGCCTGACTGAATTGATACCTTCCAAGTGATATTTAATGGCTATTCCTCAGTAGCCTCGGTCTGGAAAATGTTTCTGGGTATAGTTTTAAGAAAGTCTTGAGGAAGAGAAGGATGAAGTTGAGGCTCTACTTTGAGTGTCACCAGCATGACCTCTGTTTCAAAATGCTTCTGCCTGATGATAAAGAACAATGTGGTATCTACACTACAAAATGGCACTCAGTGCAAAACTGCTATAGCAGTGATGGCCCAAGCTGCTAAACTAGTAAATCCACATTAACCTGTCTTACCATATAATACTGTGAACACTTAACGAGCTTGTACCGAAATTCATTCCGTCTGCCTTATCCTGCTGCCATGACAGCCCTGCCCAAACTTGTATCCAGATCTAAGCCGCCAAATCTAAAAGGTGTTGTGGTATGTCATACGGAATCACAGCCTCAGGTTTCTGCTTCCGTATCTGCATTTCATCCCATTGTGTTCTATCTTTCTTGTTAGACAAAGCTGCATGAATCCTAAACTAGCCGTATGCATTCAGCACAGAAAAACACACTTGTCTTCCTTGTTTGTAGTCTACTGGGTCCTGTGCCAGCTGTTTTCCCATTCTTGAGGAAAAATTGAAAGAAAGGAAAAAAGCCAAACCTATCTGGAATAAGCATCTGGAGACACAGATGACAACATCTTGAGGCTTTGCCTTCTAAAGCTCTAAATCAGCATTTTCCTCATCTGTTGCTAAGTTATGGAGAAGTACTAGAAAAAAACAGAACGATTTTTCCTGTCTGGATGCAGCCTGTTCTGCTCTTATAGGAGCAGCCAGGGAATTGCTACCACATGAAATTCACCATTTTTCTTTGTTTCTTGCTCACTGATGACTACCTGCAACAGAAAAGTATGTGTTCTTAAAGCTGTTCTGCCTTAAGGAAAGGTGCAAACAGGTAGAAGAAAGTGATCTAGGCTTCTGCAGCCATCCTGCAGGTACTTGTGTAACTACCTCAACAGCTTCCTTCTGTTATTGAGGAGATGACATGAAAAGCTGGGGAGAAACCCAGAAATTGGAAAAAAACCCTACAGTTTTACAGGCTATTTTGCTTTATGAAATAATAAAACAACTATTCTAAGAAAAAAAGTATCAATTTATTTATAGGATATTAGAAGCACATAAGAAGCATAGATTTATAATGAATAGATCATGTTTGAGAAATCTGACATTTTTAAAAATAGATCGCAAAATTAGTAGAGGAAGGAGAAGTTATCTTTGGCTCTTAGTACAGTATTTAGCACAGTATTCTACACAATTGGAAAATCTATTCATAATTGCAATGAGTAAAATAATGTTTACCCAAGGTGGCTTTGAAAAAAATAACATCTACATTCCAGGTTACAAAAATACAGCTAAAAAATTATGAAAGATAATTTATTATTGAAGCTGCCATGCGTAATTTTTTTTTTAACCGTAGCTCAAATATCACTTAGTATCTTCCATAATGATTTTTTTTTTTATGAAATTCACAGATGGTAGTAGAGTTACAAACACTGGCAATGATAAAAGGGTATCTCAAAAAACCTGAAGAGATTAGAACTATGGGAACAGATTCACCAGAGCACTATTCTGGCTTTACGCTAATATAACTACAATTTCACTCGTGTCCCACAGACTTAAAAATTAAATTTAACAGTGACTCAAACCTAGAGAATGGGAAAGAATAATGGAGATGCTAAGAGTAAATAATAAATGTAAAAATAAAACATAAAGTAGAGGAGGCACAAGCTAAACATTTTTTTAACTGCAGTAAAAATCTGAAGGACCACTGCATAGATATCAAGTGAAGAAACAAGAAAATTTATTCAGGCTGAAATTTAAAACTGTGTGGGAACATTATGAACAAATGTCCAGCCCTATTACATTTGCAGCATAACACAACCCACAGAATTTTACCATGTTTCCTTCTCTAAACACATAAAGAAGAAATGAATTCTTAGCTATCTGTTGAATTATGTCTTCATCAACAGACAATTTCTTGTCAGGACAATTTTGGGATCAAAATGGAGTTCAGAGGAGAGCAACAAATAGAAGTAAATGAGACAGAACAGCAGAACTGTAATAGTAAGAAACAAACCCCCAAATGCTACCAAGAAAATACCTGAACTGTATTCTTACAGTCAGAACTACTAAGCTGTGAAATAATCTCTCAGAAGCGATGCCAAAACTGTATTCTTTGCCAAAGTGAAAACTAGGCTACATGACATACTAGAAAGACTACTGACCAGAACAATGTTGACTTAACCAAAATTATTGGTAATGATAAAACAAAACTACCCTGTATTTTTTTTATAATGGTAGTTTTAAATGAATACATATATCTCTCTCCTGAGAAAATCAATTTATATTGTTAGAAACCTGTATCACATATATACGTAAGGATGACTTATTCAGTGTGCTTTAGTTTAGACACTTATCTCAAACGTTCTAGTACATAAAATTAGGTGAGTGCACAGTTCAGTGGGATGATATAAAATGCCTTTAGCTGATACAGTAACTGAAGAGAAGTTTTTTTCCTCTTACCAGCACCAACACTAAACATGTGTCTCTGCCCACTGACTCTACACAGAGCTCAAACACCTCTTCAAGCCAACTCGGTGATTGTCCACATCATGTGTGAAGCTACATTTGAACCAATCTAAAGAAATCTAAAGATTTATCAGTCCAGATAAGTCCCTTCAGGTAAGATTCAGAATACAGCACCTTAGTCTGAGGTTAGATCCCTGAAAGAGGAGAAGCTCACTTTGTTCTTAGTCGTCTCATGGTTAGACCACTTGACTGGTTTAAGACCATCTCCTAAAATACAGTAAGTGTCTGAATTATTGAACCACCTTTATTTCTTAAAGGAATGATTGCACTGATGACACTGAACCTACCAACCACCTCTTATTTGGTCCCCATCTTACACCATTTCAAACAATCCTGTTATTAATTGGTTCTCCACAGAACTTACAGTTCTGTGTTCACCCTCCATGATTTAAAACACATACAAAGGCTTCGTTATGCTTAATATATACCAATGTATACATATGAGCACATTTTTGAGACAAATGTATTTTGACAGTTTAAATCTTTTTCATACACAAGTGAAATTTTAGGTAGCAATCTACTTCTGGATAAAAATCATCACAGAAGTACAGGTTAGCACAATTTTAAGGTATTAACATAAGGATCTCTGCCATCCTTCCCTATAATCTTTATATTCTCACCAATGGTACCAAAGAATGTTGACAGATAAAAAACTAACACTGAACAAAAAAAATCTAGAGAATGCAATGTACAAGGAACAGGGCTATGATCTTGTTCCCTTCGTTATATTCCTTCACATTATGCACGTATTTAAAAAAAAAACCCACTTCCCATCTTTCATAGACAAATTCCATCCTTCTCTATTTCTTACTCTCAGGTTAACAACATAATGACATATTATCAGCACTTCAAAATGTTTTGAATAGATTAAAAATGAGAACTGCAAGGTGGGGAAAGGCACAGAAGAAGCTTTTGCCATTACATAGAGAAAGTGATCTACAAAATAAAAATCTTAAGTGACTTCTGTCTGTTCATTCTAAAGATGTAAACCACCAGAACAGGCCACTGTATCTCTACTATTTATCCTCAGAGGTGACTTTTTTTTGAAAACTCAGATGATTTTTCTTGAGAGATTACTTACTCTAAAAAACTGGTGATGTAATCCCGACTGCAGGCTGACCAAGAGAAAGGGTTGGTGTTTGCTGTAATATGAGCTGCCATTAGCTTTGCTGCTTCATGACCTTTGGTCCCACAGGAATTTCCAATTCCATCATGATTCATACCAAAACTGCCCAAAAGAGGAGGAAAGAAACAGCCCATTACTTTTCTTCAGCATCAGACATATCTTAAAACTTAATGTCACCTTTACAGAAATCATGTCAGACTAAAAGAACACACTTCACACAGGAGAACTCTAAAGAGGAGAATCAGGATCAGTTAAGCTGTTTAGTTTATTCAGATCTTAGAATACTGCACAATTACATACTTCCTTTTCTCCCACAGAATTTTGAAAGAATTTTACTTATTTTCTAAAGTTTTTAACAATATTCTTGCCAGATAAATACAGAACACTCAGTCCTTATTTGGTGTCGCACCTGGATAAGAAATGTTTATTGTGGCACTGACATTTGGATTAGTAAACAAGGACAAACAGAGAAATAGGTGATGTTGCTATATAGACATACAGTATAGACACACAGCAGCCAATGATAATTTAAGCAGAACATGGGTTTTGCAACTCCCAGGGCAATACTGCATGCACATCCCTCTCTGTATCCACTCAGAGAGTGACCTGGAGCCCTTCTATTAGAGCTCTGCGTTGTCATGGAACATTCAGAACGAAGACAACTAAAAATCAGCAGAAAATACAGTAAGAAACCTCTGGGTGGCACTTAGCCAACAGAGATTTCCAGGCAACAAATTAATTAACTTTCAACAAAGATGACAGGACTCTGGAAAAAGAAATACGGCAAAAGAATCCTTATGCCTTAGAAATCCTGCGATACTGAAATACCCTCTTGGAGATACCAATCTTCAACATAACCATCAAATTAAAACTAGAAGTAAATTCACAGAGCCATCTATTTGAAAAGACTTTCATTACAAACTATCTTGAGTTAAGTTATTACTGTTATTCCTAAACAATCAGTAATGTATACCTAACTGGCCAGACATAAATGAAGCACCTGAACAGAGTATTTCTTAACAGTTATACACTTTTCTAAAACGCCATTTTCTTAGTTTGCCTTTGATTAACTTCCATTCAATCACTTGGTGGGAAAAACTTATTTCTTTTAGTATTCCCTCCTTCTTCCCAAACATGGCACAATGGTTATGAAGTCAAAGGGACAGGCAATCCCTCTGAGACATAGGAGTCTCCCTGACCATGAGACAGAGAAGTAGTTAAAGGGAATGCCAAAACTGAGCTTCTGTACACCTGGAGCAGCAAAACTGTCGTTTCTTCGTGTGTCATACAAAGAGATCAGTCTTTGGAGTCTTCTATATTACAAATGCTAAAAAGACTGACTCCCTGTTTCTTACTCATCATTCAGTAATACAATTCAGGAATGTGCTGAGGCACTCAGTTTTGATTTTCTAGAAACTTTTAGGACTGACTGCCAGAAGACACAAATGGTGGTAGATTAGAGGCTGGCCATTTATCTACTGACAATACCACTTCATACGAGTTCTTCATGGAAGAACTTTCTGTATGGAAAAAACAGTGATAGTGGTGTTACAGTAATCTGAACATATTGCTCTAGAATGTGGTACAAAAATACAAGACCTTCATGTTACTCTGAGCTTCAATACACTGGGTATTATTCCATCTCTTCAGCTGATCTAACAAACTATAAGCACAAGGTGTTAGCTAACCATTCCTGCCAAACCCCATTAATTGCATGGATATAAGAAAAGTAACACCCGTGAATGACGTATGTTTCCTACAGGCAGGGGAAGGACTTCACCGCCAAAAAAGCATCACTTCCTTGCTTATGGGATGTCTCCCTATGGAATATATGTAGCAATACCTGCATGTATCTAGTTTGGTGTATGGTATCTCATAAATGCAGAAAGCCATATGCTATATTATGCATGGGAAAGGTCTGACTGACATCTTAGATTATTATATCATCAAATGAAGAATACCCCTTGCATATAAAAAACAGAGGTTTAAAAACACTTTGTCTGAGCAAGGTATGTATTATAATGAAATTATGTATTATAAGTCTTCACTATCGATATATACTTTGGGAGGGAAGAACTTATATATCCAAAGCAACAAACTGAACCAAAATTTTAAAACGAAAAATTTATTTTATTGACCTAGTTCTCAACTACCATTGTTTCCTAGAATTAGGGGTACTTCAAATAGAAACATTTCCTTTTGAATTGCCTCTGTGCCATTTCTTAAAACAGAAAACCTTTGGTTTTAATAATGTCTATGA